CTCGCTCGGCTCCTCAAAACGAAGCTCATCGCTGCAAGAGAGACCCATGATATTCCGAGCCTCATAACCATCCATCCATGTGAAGCAGCCCAGTTAACCCGTATTAGCACCTAAAACACCATGCTTGCGCGCCCAGTAAACCCCCCAAAAGGCAGAAGTCTGCAAAACGCCAGCCTCCAAATGCAGCCAACCGGCCGCTTTTTTATCTTGCCCTAACCCACCGAAGAAAGTAACCAATAAAAAAAGGAAAAAGCCAAAAAAAATAGAGGAACTGGAAGAAGGCGAAATAAGCTGGTCCCGACCGCATTTACAGAAGCCATACGACGGCGCCCAACAGTAATGGCATTGCCATCTTCAACCATGTCACGGGCCGGCTCACAGCCGCCGCAGAGGCCGTAGTGGCATCGGCTAGGGACTCGTTCGCGAAATCTGGGCCGCAGATGGCATTGACCTGCTCGGCAGCGGTGGCGTACGTATTAGCGATCAGCTGGGTGCGATCGGCGGTGGCGGCTTGGTACAGGTCCATGGTCTCCTGCAAGCAGTAGCCGCAGGCCGGGCGGGTACTGCCGGGTAGGGTCTTGTTGAGCGGCAGGAAGTAGAAATAGGTCATGCTCGGGTTGGTGTTGTTGGTGATGGCGTTGGCGTAGCAGTAGGCGCCCGTTTCTGGATCGCGCAGGCAGGTGGCGCCATAGATAGGGGCGTAGGCAAGCATGGCGCGGTGGGCGTCTACGACGGCGGCGAGGCCGCGGTTGTAGTCGGCCGCACAGTTCTCGGGAGCGGTGAGGTTCTGCGCGAGCTGCGTCAAGTACGAGGTGCAGAAGGTCACGTTAGCGGCGCAAGTTGCGTCCAGGGTGCGCGTTATGCCGACAAGCGAGCTCTGGGCTTCATAGAAGGACCGGGATGTCTGTCGCGGGGGTTAGCTATGGGCGGAGGTCCGAGTTCTGACGTTACACTTACATCGAAGAGCATTGATAGGGGGTAGCACCGCTTGAAATCGGGATTGGCGAGGAAATTATTGATAAAAATTGGACAGGGCGCGGGCTCGCCGTTGGGGCCCAGCGAGAACTCCGAGGGCACGCTGTCGAGGATGCTGGGGAGAGGGCTTGCGGCCACGGTGGTGCTAGTACTGGACGCCTTCGGCGAGCCCCCACCGATGGTGAATGTCGTTGTCACCGAGTGGGCTGCGGACGTCTTGGAAGGCTCTGAAGATTTCGTCGAGTCTGATTCCTCCGGCTCGTCCGACGTGGCGCGCCTCTGCACCTTCCTCCTCTGGATCTCGTGCTCCGGTGACATGGCCCATCTCTGGCCCTCCTGGTGTGGAGGTTTGTGGTTGATAACCAGGGCCTCAGCGGGTGCGGCAGCATTTGGAGAGGCTGCTAGCGCGTGTGAAACGAGACAAAGGAGGACGGCGAGAATCATGGCCCATGGGGCCGTCGGCCGTCTGTTCACCGACGGGAAGCGGCAGTCCGGCTGAGACGACGAGCGAGGAGCGTGACCGGCGGCGGATGACACTGGTGTGGAGGCCATTATGTTGTAGGTGCAGGAGTGATCCGGTGCAACATCACTCTGTGCAACGAGTCGAGGTGGTATAACGAGTGACTAGGTATCCAATTGCCCGGGCCCAACAGGAAGATCGGCGTCCGGGGGATGCAAGACTGCAACACTGAGTTCCAAGCCGTTGAGATATCGTTGACGGGAGTTGCAACCGAGCCCTCGCCAACGAACGCAGCAGTCGTCCGTATTATATCGGACGGTCCAGACTCTCGGCCGTGTGTAGGGCGGGCGGAAGACCCGACCAACAGGTTTCGAGTAACAGGAAACTGGGAACCCCAAAAGACAACTCGGCGATGGTGAGTGATAGTGGGTTGTCCAATATGGGCGATCCGGGTAAATATACGCAGTGCCGGATGGGAGGTGGGCGACACCAATGGGGGCGAGCAATCGAATTTCGGTGGTAATGCCGCCGCCAAGTTGGGCAAGCGGGCTGCTGACTGACCGACGCGTGCAGACGGAAAGGATGGTGTGCTTCGTATGGTTCGTGTGCTTCTCAGCCGTCCTTGTGTCTGTTTCGAGGAGGTGGTGACGACCAGTTGTGTCCGGAATCCTGTGTAGTGTTCGATCACAGACCGGAGAGGCTTGTCGACCGACGTTGTTTTCAGGGCGGCGGAGGGCGTTGGGAGGCTCGGAGCAGCAAGCAATGATAAAATAGGAACAAAAGCGCGGCACAGCGCATGGGCGAGAACACTCTCCCACGATCTGCTCCAGGGGTCGAGCTGCTGGACCACCCACCCATCCGCCGGGGACCCTTGGCAGAAGCCACGATCGGGGTTTCTGGACCAATGGTGAGCAGCCCCCGGGCTCCAAGTCCAGGGGAGCTGTGGGCTGGTCCGGTTGGGGCAGCTGGGGCCATCGTCTATTGAGCGGGCTTTTCCTCTTTTGGTGGCACACCAACGCCTCTCAGATCTTGGCGATGGACCAGGACGGCACGGATGGTGGGCTGGGCTGTTCTTTCATTCTTTCAGGCCAACAGCAAGGCAGTGGTGTGTTGATTTATTGGTAGCCCGCAGATAGTTATTCGTATTATCGATGCGATGATATGAAGACGCGTGACGGACGCTGACCTGCCCGAAACGGCGCTGGCCTTGCTTCCATGCGAAGGCATCAACGAGAATGCTTGGAATAGTGGAGACTGCGTGCATCGATGGGGGAGGCGTTTGCGGCACCATCTCATATCCTGTAGCTACTGCGCCGACTTTGGCCCCCCCCTAGGCTTCATCCAACGTGTCAAATAGAAGGGACCACATCACGGGCTGGTGGATGGATGGCTGAATAGTATCAAGCCGAGATGAAGCAATCATCGGATGGCGGGCCGGGCGCTGTGTTTTGGCCAACCGCGCGGGTGACGCAGGTACAGATTGAATCCAGATAAAAAAACGAGTTGGGACTGGGCAGGAAATGAATTGACACACATATGGAGCGGGAAAATCTTCGTGTCCATTTTCGAGAAGAAGCAGAAAGTTGTGGGAACCAAGGAAACAAAATATCGGGCATAAGCGAGATTTTCATGCGCACCGTTGAGTTCTCAATCTGGCTCCAACATTCGTTGGAAGGAGAAAGAACGGCCTGCATGCCTGCCTATACTAGAGGAGAAGGCATGGCATATCATCTTGGGGCAAGTCCCCAAACCGGGCAGGCACGACCTGACAAATTTTGTTTATATGAGCAAGGTTTGGTGTGAGGTTCAAGCTCTCATGATGATCTGTTTCCAAACATACATAGGACCCAGAGAGACAAACAATCGCCCGGCTGATCGGCGGTGTTCCACGTGGGTTTTCCGGTGTTGTGGAGGAAACAGCCGGATCGGCGAGGTCAGAAATCGGTGCCGAGGAGGGAATGGGAAAGTGGGTCATATCGATTGCGATTTTATGCGTCTTTTTGCTGATGTTCGTTAACTGACTCCACAGCTTGCGTTTTTTGTTGGACCATTGGCAGCCATGGGCGAGCTCTGCACTAAATTGGACCCACCGACCGGGCACCGACGGAATGTAACCTGGGGATCGGTCTGGACTCGGTCCAGACCTGAGGTCTGATGGAAGTCAGATGGAGCTGAGCTGCTGAGGTCGGCCCTCCGAGTTCCATGGGTGTGTAGTTTGTTGATTCCATCTGTCATCGCTGAACACACCAACTCATCCTTCGTGAATTTCCAAGGCTTGGCACACTCAATGGCCAACTCAAACGTCGCACGGAGATGATTCGAGACCTGTTCTGTGCGGGCAACCGCCGGCCTAAGGATGAGGGTCCATGCAGCTGCCCGGAGCTTCGACAGAACCTGGGGAATGGCCGACCAATCTCTGGACAGTTATCAGCCGTTGGATGGCGAGACAGACACAGGCACCGCGTCGCGTGGTGCGAGTTACACAGTGCACAACCTCCACACGACCTCCATCCGTACTGGTACCTCTGCACACCACAGGTACGCATCTCAGCTCCAACCTCCATTGGCAACTCAAGTTACAGTTGGACAGCATGACGGCAACATGTTTCCGAGTGAATCAGGCCAGGCAGGCCGCATATGCAAGGTCCCGAACGGTGTGTCTCCAGAGCCATCCATCGGGCTACGTGTGTAGCTATCCATGTCTGTAGCCCAACCCCAGTTCCACCACGGCTGGCCGCTTGGCCACACCGTTACGGCGAGTTAGGTGGTGTGGTGGTGCTCAGTCATGGCGACCTGCTTGCCCGTTCAAAGCACGCCAAGGTGGCGCAGACACATCCAGCTGGGCTGCGCGAGCCCGCTTCGTACATACATACAGACTGCCGAGTTTTGGCTCTCCATGATGCACCGCCCCAAACGACGTATGCGGTGAGTCTGGTTGCGGAGGGCTGGAGGAAGGGCAGTAAGCCGACGGTGGTTTGTATGTGCTTTGGGTGGTGGGATCAGTCTGCTCCGTGAGCGAGCACGGGCGGGCGTGTATTGCTGGCTTCCGTGCTCGCCGCTGAGATGGTGCGTGTGTTGAACTTGGAGTACGACGTTGAACCCATCTATGCTGTGTCAGCGCGGAGAATCCGGAGATGCCGGGCCGGCAAGCTGTTCGCCACTGTTTTTGTTTTCTGGAGACGAGACGGGGAGTGCTCATTTCAGAATCCATGTATCCATACTGGTGGTTCATTTCGTTTGGGTTCCTGGACGCTGTGAGTTGCTTATCTGTTGATAAATACACCAGTCATACGCGGGGAGCAAATTACGAAGGCGGCAATAGCCAGATGATGAAAACATCACGCAACCACTGCCCGGTAGCTGACCGAAGCGAGCTGCTTCGCAGTCAAGTTATCGACAGCACCAACAATATTCCCCAACACAAGAGTTCACATGATAAAGCCACTCTGAAATGTTGCGAGTAGTTACCTGACCGTAACTCCGTATAATGCTCTATTGAGCCTCTGGTGCCCGAAACAGATAGATATCCTCCAATAGATATAAAACTGAAGCACGCCACGCTTTACCATCGCTTCCTCTAGGTATCCAGACCGCTCCAAACAACAACGCACAAACGCAACCTGGAGTGGTTGCTTACGCCAAGTAGGTATACGATCCACCCTCACGCTCCAGGTAATCCTTCTCGATGAGCCTATCAAACCAGGTTAGCATCACACCACACCCGCATATCAGCAACGCAAAGAGAAACAATAAACTCACTTCTCAATATTTGCCTTGATATCGGCGGGATCCACCGACCCCCTGCTCTTCGTCTGGTCGATAACCTCGGCGACCAGCTGTGAATGTGTCATCTTTTTCCGGCTCTTCATGATCCGGACGATGGCCGCCTGCGTCTCGAACTGCCGATCGGCAGCAACGCGCTGGTGGGTCTCGCGGTTCTCCTCCTTTGTCTCCTTCATCTGGATCTGGTTGATCTTGATGCGGAACTTGGGGTCCGTAAAGGCCTTGTTGACGGTGAAGGTGTCGGTGGGGGACACGTCGCGGCCCTTGGGAGACTTGGTTAGCACGCGAACCTTGCCGCAGGCGAGGGACTGCAGAGTGCGGTCGAGCTCGCCCCCCTGAAGGCCCGTAGACTGAGCGATTTGCTCGTACGAGAGCACGCCGGCGGTTTTGCTCTTGGGGTCGTCGTCTTCGACCTCGTTGAAGAGCATCAGGACAGTGGCCTGCGGCGCGCTGACGAGCAGGTCCTTGGAACCGCGGTTGAACCGGGCTCCGACGACGCAGTGTGCCATGTTGTGCATCCAGGTGAGCCGCCTGCCGGTATGCTTGGATTTGTAGTAGCTGTCGAAAGTGTTGACCTGCTCGAGCACCTCCTTGGGGAGGAGGACCTTCACCTCTGGGAAGGTCGGCCACGCCGCAGCTGAGAGAATGTTGACCGTCAGGTCGACGCCACCATCGTTCTTTCCCGTGCCTCTGAACCACTGCTTGTAGGATGTCATCTCTTCCTTCGCCAGCGCCTGGTCTTTGAACATCTGTTCCAGGTTGTGGGTGAAGCCAGACCCGCACTCGACCTTGAGCTTTGCGAGCATGCTCCGCTCGGCGTCTTGGCTCGCGCTGCGACCAAGGAGCAGGCGCCGCGCCAGGTCTTTCTTGTAAAAGGCTTCGAAGACGTCCTTGCCTTCGATAAAGCGGAACAGTTCGAGGGCGTAGTCCAGTTGCCGGTCCAGTTCGGAGTCTTCGTCGCCCGTACTTGCCACGCCGCTCATCTCGGCATCCGCCCTGTCCTTATTGTCCGACAGGAGCGACTTCGGGAGCGTCTTGAGACCCCCGCGCAGGAGCATGTCGATGTACTTGGCAATCATCTCGCCGACCTTGGAGGTTCCTGTGCCCCACGCCGAGGTATTCTTCCTGCTGTTGATAAAGTTGCCGAACGACTCCCTGAGGGCGTAGTGGAAGACGTCGTCCCTGGAGAAAGCGTCCCGGATCATGGTGTCCAAGGACCGCCTTAGCTCCAACAGGCGGAGGACCATATCGTCTCCCCGCGCGGTATCGCTGACAATTGCGGAGCCCGTCTCCCGGATGTACTGTTCCCAAGGGCCCTTCAGCCGTTTCTGCAGGCCAGACAGCTTCAGCAGCTCGTAAAGCGCCTTTGTAGATTCGATATCTTGGGCGTCTAGCAGCTTCGCTACGCTGCCGGTGTCGAGCAGCTTCTTGGCGTATCTCTCGATGAGAACGTGGTGGGCATCGCCCAGTAGCTGCCGTTTGGTGGTGCTCTCAAAGTTGAAGGTGTCGCACCTAGCACCCTCCCTCTTCAACAATGCCGCAACCGCCGTGATGTAATCCTTGAGGCCGTACGAGGCGCTGACATCGCTGGCGAACTGTTCGTAGTAGCGATGGGACATGACCAGAAACATGGCCTCGAACGACTTGCCGTAGACGCCACAAAGCCTCAACATCTTGATCGCCTGCCTCAACAGCTCGTCATCGGTCCGCTCGTCGCCATACCGCGAGTAGTCCACCAGCCGACACACGCCTTCCACCACCGCCTTCCCATACGGCGAGGCGGACCCCCCTTTGGACGACGAGCTGCCAAACACAGCCTTCCGGAACAGCGTGATACCCATCTCATTAATCCCCTGCTTTCCCTTGGCGCCCTCCCCACCACCCAACAACAGCAAATACCCCCGATCCAAAAAGCTATAAAGCCCCCTCACCACAAAAATAACCTTATTTCACCTCTCCCACCTCCCCACCACACCCTTCAACAACACATCCCCCGCCCCCTCATTCGCATTCCCACCACCCCCCCCACCCTCCCCACCCCCACTCACAGACGCAGACGCAGACGCAGCATCAAACCCCTCCCACAACCCACCCAGCATATCGCGCCCGGCCAACCAGGCATTGCAGCGATCACGCAGACGGTCGGTCAGGGCAGCGGCGTCGCCCTTGCGGCAGACGTCCTCGACGCCGCGGTAGAGCCGCTCCATGGACACGGCCACGGGCCGGCCGTCAAAGACATTGTCGAGCGCGGCGTCGAGGTCCGCGAGGATGCGCGCGTAGTGCGTTTCGACCGCCGCCGCGGGGGTGGTGGGGGTTGTTGGTGAGGTGGTGGTTGTTGTTGTTGGTGGTGGGGATGGCGATGGTGGTGCGGGTTGGGATGCGGGGCGCAGGTTCTTGATGACGAATCGGCGGGAGCCGAGGTGTGGTTGGAGGGC